CTGATTTTAAATGGGGGCAACGGATAACTGTGGCAGCCGCTGTAGCTTATAGAGATGTGTCTCTGAACAGTGTCCCTGAGAGATGATGGTGATGTTCTCAGGATAACTTGTCTACGTTAGCCAATGCCTTGGCTCGATAAAGTGGGGGACACTCCAGGCAATGCAGCTTGAGTAGGGTGTGCCAGGGTATCGCCGGCACCTCACTGTGTCTGAGAGGGGGTCCGCATCTGGGTTCCAAGGACCCTAACAACGTGGTGCTCCAAGTCCCTCCCTATTGGGAGATGGCGGGGGCCTCGAGTGGTCTGCCGCCGCTTGTGGTTGTCTAATCTCCGCCGACGTGGTCGATGCTTTACGGCCGTAGCCGGGGTGGCCCTCAACCCAGGTGTGCCAGGCTTAGGTTTCACCGTTGCTTGTGAAGGTGCTTTGCCCTGAGGGGGCCCAGGCTCTCCACGGCTCTCACCCTTGCGCTCACTTCCCTGGTGCTGGGCATGCGGGGTCGACATCCTAGCCTCCAGCCTTTGCCTGAATCTCTGGAACGCCTCGTCCAGGCGTTGCAGTATGTGATCCACCGAGCTTGGTAGGACCGTCTCCGGCCTGTGCATCTCCAGCCTCTGTATAGAGAGCACATCCTCCATTCTGGGAATATCTGTCGGGTGCTCCATGTGACCTGTATCAGTCGCCAGATTGTCGTGTGGGCATGTGGGGGCTAGCCAGGTGGGACCGGGATAACCCCCAATGGTCCATGGGGGGAGGGGACAGCACTTGTTAGTCTCCTCACCGCCAGTCGAAGCAGTAGGAGAGCGGCCGTCTCTCCTCAGCCCTGTCGCTGGTAGGTCACAAAACTTCGAGTCGGGCTTCCCGGTGTCAGAGAGCCCTACTGAAGGTGTCTTCAGAATCGCCGGTGTCTCAGTAACAAGCTTGATATAGCTCTACGTCCAGGTGAGTTTTAGCTCGGCCATTTCCCCCGATTATTGGGTGCCAGACGCGAGAGCTCATGCAACACGTCTGGTCTCGTAACTTGGCTCCGCCCCCCCGAAAACCTGTTTTTTTAATATATAAAATATGCACTATATCTAAGAATCCTTAAAATCTTAATTCTAACAAAGTACCGATGACTAAATAGGATACCAGCACATGATACTGAGCTCTAGGACTGTTCCTCCCAACCCGAGACCCTACCACTGTTTAAATGTCAGGTTAAGATTTGTACGTCTATGTATTTGTTCATCTTTGTCTTTAATTGTATTTATGTCAGTATTAATGTATGCATTCATACTGCAAATAAAAAAAATGAGCCCTTTAAATTACGATTATGCTCAGCCACGGTAATTCTTAACTTGCACTAGGGATGGAGGACACCCAGGAGTCTACAACCTGTTCCAAATTATTATGCAAATTATATTTTTCTCATTTACCTAAATAATTTATGTAAATAACAGTCAGCATAATTCTTATGTTATCAACTATTAAGAGTACAATTCAAATTTTATTGAACAAACCTCCTAATAACAGTATTTTTAAAAAAACATAAAAAACTTACAATGCACTGTTCTAAATTATTACGCACAGTAAGTTTCAAAACACTTTATAGGTTGTAAAGAACTAAATTTGTAATTTCTTGTGTTGGCAGCATATTTACTGAAATCAAAAGTTATTTCAATCAAACTTATAACAACATTTTAACAGGTCACGTTACATTTTAACATAGGACCCCTTATTTGATAACAGCTTCACAAGTCTTGCATCCATTGAACTTGTGAGGTTTTTGGACAGTTTCTGCTTGAATTTGTTTGCAAAATGTCAGAATAGCCTCCCAGAGCTGCTGTTTGGATGTAAACTGCCTCCCACCCTCATAGATCTTTTGCTTGAGGATGCTCCAAAGTTTCTCAATAGGATTGAGGTCAGGGGAGGATGGAGGCCACACCATGACTTTCTCTCCTTTTATCCCCGTAACAGCCATTGATGCAGAGGTATTCTTTGCAGCATGAGATGGTGCATTGTCATGCATGAAGATGATTTTATTATGGAAAGCATAGTTCTTCCTTCTGTACCAGGGAAGAAAGTGGTCAATCAGAAACTTCACATACTTTGCAGAGGTCATCTTTACACCTTCGGGGACCCTAAAGGGGGCCGACCAGCTCTCTACCCATGATTCCGGCCCAAAACATGACTCCATCACCGCCTTGCTGATGCCGCAGCCTTGTTGGAACAGGGTGGCCGTCCACCAACCATCCACTACTCCATCCATCTGGACCATTCAGGGTTGCACGGCACTCATCAGTGAACAGGACTGGTTGAAAATTAGTCTTCATGTATTTTTCTGCACAATGCAGCCGTTTCTGCTTGTGAGCATTGGTTAGTAGTGGCCGAATAGAAGGTTTATGCACAGTTGCAAGACTCTGGAGGACTCTACACCTTGATGTCCGTGGGACTCCAGAGGCATCAGCAGCTTCAAATATCTGTTTGCTGCTATGTAATGGTATTTTAGCAGCTGCTCTCTTGATCTGATGCATGGATCTGGCAGAAATCTTCCTCAATGTGCCTTTATCTGCACGAACCCATCTGTGCTCTGAATCAGCCACAAATCTCTTAACAGTGCGATGATCACGCTTAAGTTTTCGTGAACTATCTAATGTTTTCATAACTCGTCCAAGGCATTGAACCATTTCACTCTTTTCGGCAGCAGAGAGATCCTTTTTCTTCCCCATATTGCATGAAAATGGTGCTCTGCTTAATAATGTGGAACACCCTCCTTTAGTAGTTTTTCCTTAAATTGGGCTCACCTGGCAATCTAATTATCACAGGTGTCCAAGATTGTTTTCAATGATCAAAAGAGCCCTGAGACACAATGCCATCCATGAGTTAAACTGAAAAACAAAATATTTAATCTTTGTGACACTTAAATAGAATTTGCATAATAATTTGGAACAGGGTGTAAATAGACCCTGGTCAGGTGTCCTTGCATGTAACTCTGCCCAGTTATTAAGCACTGCAGGAGCGACAGCATTAGAGGGTGGTCTCCCTGATCACGTATGGGATGTGTGTACCACCAGAAAACTGAGGTCGGCTGTAGGCGCGAATATGGCGCAAATTAACCAGAGGAAGTTCTAGCATTCCATGGTGGATCGCACACTGCAACCAGATGGATTTGTTTTACCCTATTTAATCAAGGACTAGTACCAAGTATTTATTTAATGCTTTATTTTTGATGTGAATATGCAATATTAAGGATAACATCTCAGACAAGTCAGTAATAAAAATACATATATCCATCAAACAATGTAGATATAGGGAACATCACTTGTTTAAATCAAGACCAAGTTAACACAGTGCTAGGTTTGGAGAACGAAAGACAAATAAGTAAGCAGGGCATATGGACGGAGAGGAAGTTGTAAAAATTGAACAGTGAATGACTGTAAAAGATGTCAAGTAGCTTTAGCAAAGAGTGAAACCCCTAGGAAACCCCCCAATTAGGCCAGGAGTGAGCACCCTGCATGTAGATAGGGAAAAAGCAAAACAGCTGCTCAATGGGTGAGAACATCAGAAGCAACAATAGGATTCAAAAAATGAGTGTGGCATATTGCCCTTTAAATCACGATTACGCTCAGCCACGGTAATTCTGAACTTGCACCAGGGATGGAGGAGACCCCAGAAATCTAAATAGACCCTGGGGTGTCCTTCATTCCTGTCCTGGGATCATAACTGAAATAAGCTGATTCCCTGCAAAGACTGAACATAATCCTGCCATGAAAGCCTCAGTGCCAGGCCCAACAGTCCAGGGTATAGAGGGATATGATCACCGTGTGGCAAACAATCAAACCTTGAAGGGTCGCTTTGAGTTATAGCTCCGCTGTTCTGCGGACCCTCAAAGAGTCTTACACAGCTGGCCCCATGTTGTTTTTCTCACAGCGCTGTTGCATAATGCAGTCCCATAAACGCCCTCTGCACAGCCTCGTACCAATGACTCTCAGGTAGGCTGCTAGTTGTGTTACTCGTTGCCACGGGTCGCAATTGAACATCCATCACTGGCCAAAAGGACTTGAAAAGTTTGTACAGATGATGTAGGACATCCACATTTTCCTCTGAAGAGATCGGAGGAGCATGCAGCATTCACCATCTTGTGCGCCTGTTACTTATGCTGCAGTAATGCCACGTACCCTCAGCTTAGTAATGGAGCCTCCAGGGATTAGACTAGGATCACACGCACCTGTCCACATGGGGAGGAAAACAGGGCACCAAACAGCAGCATGGGCCACAAGCAGAGATTTGCTGCTTCTCTGCCCCTCCAGGCCCACAAGAGCACAGCTCTCCATCAGCGTGGACACCCAAGGATATCAGAACATGTACCAATTATTACAATAACACCATGCATGCAGTTACAGTCATCAATGGGTGGTATAATCTGCAATTACCTATTACCAAGCATTTAATCTCTCAAAATCTCGAGTTTTGTAGCTTAATTCTTTAAATCATTTGAGGAGCTCTGACACATGATGAATTTCTGGTGAAGATTTGAGCACTGTTCACAAGGAATCGCAAGCGTACATTCTGAATGCGAAGTAGCATTCCTGTGTTTTCTGCAACACTGCACATCTTCCATTACTGATATTGCATCAAATATCCAATTAACACCAGCAGTGGTAGGCTAACTGTTTGAGCAAGCTTCTGTTTTTTTTTTTTGCTCTTATTACTCTAGAATTGTGTTACACTTCTTCAGTAAATTTGGATACGATTACATTTAACAGGTCCTTTGAGGCACTTGTGGATACTTTGTTGTAGATAATTTTAAGAACACACACCGGATTCCATTCCAATTCACAGACTTTATGTTCTTTTACTCCATCTGTGAGATTTGTTTTTGAGACTAGGATTCCCTACTGCTTTTATATTAGAATACTTGTAGGTGGTTTTAACAAGGTCCACTTGGACTACCTCCTTCTACAGAGGCGTGAACAAAACCAGAGGATGTCTCCCCACAGGTGGGTCCACTTTTACAGTGCTGTTAAACAACTTTCACTGCATGCAGGTTGTCCTTTTTCTTACAAAACTGGGGAACTATATCCTCAGATGCCTGCATTCTTCAGACAGTTCAAGGTTACGTCAGAGAATTCTGTTCTCCCCCAGGACAGGTGTACCCTCCTCTTCCGCTATGTGTTTTCAGGGAGTCCCTCATCAACTAATAGATCCAGTCGCTGTTCAATATGCACAGGATGACGGTATCTTCACCAACATCTTTCTGGTTCAGAAGAAAACAGACTTTCGACTAGTTATACTCTCGTTTGTGGTACAACATTTCAAAATGAAAGGCATACATCTGCTATGTGATCTACTCCTTTAGGACAACTGTTTCACTCGCCTCGACTTCAAGGATGCTTACCTTTCAGTGTCGATTGCTCCATCTTGTTAATGTTTCCTACGGTTTCGTTGGTGCCATCTCCCATGCCAGTTGACATGACTCCTCAGACTCAGCTCCACTCTGTTGTGTTTAAAAAACCCAAAACTAAACAGTGTATTTGTTTAGTGTGTGTATATAATGAATGCAGAGTGTTTATGTAGTGTGTATATAATGAATGCAGAGTTTGAGTTTGTGCAGTGAATGTTTGTGTAGGTATGTTAATTGTGTAAAATGGCGGGGTCATTTTTTTTTCCAAATATTTAATTTTTTAAAATTGTTTCAGTCCCCCTCTCTCTGCTTCTTACCTGGCCAGGGAGGGGGGATATGGCATTCCCTGGTGGCCCGGTGGCATGGACTGTGCAGAGGGGGACCAGCACACTTTCCAGCAGCTCCCCTGTCTAACTCTCGCAGCCTGCGTGGTAACACTCTGACAGCCGTGGGACTCACGAGATTTAGACGGGGAGCTGCTGCGAAGAAAAGTAAGAGTGTGCTGGGCCCCCACCGCGGCCCTAATCTGCATTATCGGTATCTTTATTGGCCGGTACCAATATCGCTGAAAATACAGAATATTGGCCAGACCGATAAGCAGTCGATCCCTAATATCAACACCACCAGACCATACAGCGGCTGCAAGCACGTTACCTGCGGTCGGGCCTCTCCTATGACCTAGTTGGTGCTCCTCTTTCCTAAGGTAGACAGAACACAGCTGATGGCTCCTCCATATGCTGACCTGGAAGGGCAAGGCTATATTTGGTCCCTTACCAGATTTCATAGTGGAAACCAGCCTTTGGGGCCGGATTGTGTGACTTCCACCACTAGAGGAGCCATGGTTGGATGAGGAAACCAGCCTACATATCAATTGCCTGGAACTGATCACCAATTCCTTCGCCATCCTGAGTCTGGCCAAGAACGTGTTGGATTGATGCATTCTATTACGCTTGGGCAACGTTTCTGCAGTTCATATATTCGTATATAAAACAGGCAAGACGAAGAAGGAAATCTACAGTTTTTGGTTATCTCACAATATCACTCTACGGGCAGAATACCTTTTGGAAATCACCAATCTCACGGCGGATTGGTACTCTAGTCACTGGAGTTACAGCATCAGTTGGCGTCTGGATGAAACAGTCTTCAGCTTACTGCTCAAATGTAGATCCTGTACACCTGGATCTTTTTGACTCATGAGCCAATTGTCAGTTCCTGAGATTCTTTATCTGGCTTCTGGACCCAAAGAGCGAAGAGGTGGACATATTCCCCCAGGCCATCTCAAGTTCACATGGAAGGGATCGCTCTCCTGCACATTGCTCTCCTTTGTCTGAGCCAGACAAGGTTTTCTGATCTGTTAGAATTGTCCTGAGACCATCCACTCCTCCTGCTATCATCCCCTCTACTCCTGGATAGTTCCCACGGAGAATCACATCCCCATATCCTTCAAGAACGATGTTTTCAGTGGATCCGGGTCAGTCGACAGCCTATCGCACGCAACCAAGGACCTCTTAGTCTCAGGCTACCAGACAAAGTTCTCTCTCATGGAGTGGTTGGTGTTTGGAGAGGGATTCCGATCCCTTTACTGCTCTTGCGAGATGGCTTCACTCGATACCAACATTTTGGTGCTCATTTCATACAGGGTGTAGCAGCATTGCCGACTTTTTCGGCAGGTGCCTCTCTTGTTGACATTATGCGCTGCACGGACAGGTCGCAGGAAGATAAAAAAGTAAAGTATGTCCTTCCAGTGCTTCATTTGCCCTACTTCCACAGCGTTATAAATGCAAACTATGAAGCCTCCTTTCATGTGGTAAAATGTATCTGATTCCAGGGGAACATAGGATCAGTGCTAAAACAGATGTAATTGTAGATTATGCTTAATGTAATGCACTTACAATCTTAATTTTGGAAATGACGAGAGGTGAGTCTTTTCCCTATTTTAGCATAATATACAATTACATCTGTTCTAGCACCAGGGCTACGTTCCTGTGAAAATCAGATCCTCCACCACTCCCGCTTGCTGGAGGAGAGGAAGGGCTGAGGGGAGTACAAGAGCAGCCTAGGGTGTGTGTGTTTACTTCAGACGTACATTCAATATACACAGAATTCATAGGGCAACATGTACCATGCTGCCTATGGACTATTTAAGAGGTGGAGATACATCTCCATCATCACCATGACCATGAACACTTCAAGGCTATTTAGTGGCAATGGTGCTAGGAGTTACCCTTTAGTGGATTTCATGGTTTTAAAGTTTAAACTATGTACTAGAGTCTCTCCCCCTTAATCTAGATGACACATACAGTGCCTTGCAAAAGTATTCACCCCCCTGACTTTTTACCTATTTTGTTACATTACAGCCTTAATGTTTTATGAAGCTGAGTTTTATGTGATGGATCAGAACAC